AAAGTTGCATTGTGAATTATATTATTAAATATGTCACAAACTATTTATCATTAAAATTGTATAGATGTTCATTTGATTTTTTATTATATCCTGAACTATCCTTTCGAAAAATCTTTAACCCCTAAGCAGTAACTCACACTCTCATTTTTAAAGCATTAACTTTCAGCAAAACCACCTAACCTTCATAATAAGTATAAACATCTCCATTAGTTTCTGGTTTAATCCTTTAAGGAGATAACCACTCTTAACTAAAAGGGCTTAGGGGCAAGGTAGATTTTGTCAGTTACTTAACAACAACAAAAGTCACGGTTAATGGGCATTATTTTCTTTTCATTATGTATTTTTGTATTGGGGTTTTGTAAAGTTCATTTCTGTGCGTCATATGGCTTTCATTTAAATGTATAAGATGATACCAACCAAATGAAAAATTGATTATAGTTTGTTACCAACCATGTGAAAAATTGATAATAATTTGTTAGACTTTTGTGGTTTTGCAAGAACGTCAACAACGGTAGCATTGTGTGAATACAGGAAAAAGAACAAACTTGTATGCGAGCGATATTTAAACTGAAAAAAAGAAGAAGAAAGTTATTGAGAAAAGTAGTGGATAAATTCAAATACTCGTAAATAACCTATGTTTGAGAAAGAAAACAATCGATCACCACTTCTTCAATTTAGTTACTCTTGTATTGAGATAACAGTTACAATTACGCTTCTTTAGTGTTTAGTCAGAAAAGGATTGTGAGTTGAAAATAAAAATAAAAATTTTTACATCGAGAAATCTCTTGTACTTAAAAAAATAAATGATAAATAGATGAACATGTTATTTCTTCATACGAATTACACATCAGTTAATCTCTTCTCTACCATATCATTATTCAAACGGATATTTCCCAGGGAATGTGCTTGAGTAAAGTAAATTGTGAACATTTATCATTGTGTTGAGAAGGAAAAACTGCTCTTGTCAACAAGAAAGTGCAGTGTGTTATGGAATTAAGACATCGTATCCATCTCAGTGACTCTAGATGCTGGAATCAATCAAAATGTCGCAACTGTTTCTCGCTGACATTCTTGGGGTTTTGCCTTTTTTACGTTCATGTAAGGCCTGAGTTTGAATTTTCTTCACGGGAAAGTCTTACTTGGTTAATGATATTGTGTTTATAGGGGTACAGTATTAAATAGATTGTAATGGATAGTTTATGATTTATAATTACATTTGTTTTGATGACGATAATAAATCTTATAAATAAATCGTTTAATTATTTATATTTATTTTATAACACGTATTCAAATTCAAATTTATAAAAATGTTTAGCATTGAAAGTTAACATTTGGGTGAAGATTAATATAAAATATAATTTAGTTTTCGAAACGCAGCATCCAATTATTGGAGGGTTGTATAATTTAAAATAAGGAACAGGTGCCCCTATATCCGAATATTGTTCTCATAGTAAAACATTGCATTACTTGGTAAACAATTAGTCTTACATCCTCATCAGCAGTGATCAAATGAGATTTCTAGGCAGTTAAATTCAGTTGGTACTTACGAAAGAATTAACCTTTCCAAGACCTTCGTAAGCTGTTAATGGAGTCTTAATGACAAGATTTCCTGAGAAAAGAAAGCCTTTAAGAGTAAACTGCTATAATCTTAGGACCAGGCTGTACAATTTTCATGTTTTATGCAATTAACTTTTGAAGTAAATCACAAAGTCAAAAATTTTTAATGCTACTTGAAATACTGCTTTAGTAAAATATATCGTTCAACCCCTGATTTTACACTACGATTAAAAAATACCCCCGCCGCAGCAAACCTGCCGACTAAGCGAATTTCCATTTGTCTGAATTGATTTTCAGTTAAATTATATTTTAATAACATTAGGTTTAACGAGTACCTAGGTTTGCTGCTACAAGGAAACAAATAAAGTGTGTTTTTGAGTAAAATATTGATAGCTTAGTACAAAATAAATAAATTTGACAAGTTTGATCAAAATATATTCATAAACAAGCAAACTACAACATTTGACAATATTCTCCATAAGAATAACATGGGAATTTTAAATTTACAATTTTTTAAATTTTCTCCGTTACTAATAATTGAACAAAAATACTTTTATATACTAAATTATTTGTTTTTTTAAGCTCTTTAAAAAGGTCTAAACAGAAATTGGGAAATTTTGTGTTTTGAGGGGCAAAAGTGAGAAAAACCAATTTTTACCCCATAAAACCCCCCGTAAAGCCCCGTTCCCATGGTCCGATCGTGCTGGTTCGCGAACTCATTCAAGTTTATCCCGCTTTACACCTTTAAACCAAATTTCATCAAAATCGGACAAAAATTACTCAAGTTATCGCGTTCACGGACGTATATATATATAAGTCTATATATATATATATATATAAATACATATATAAAAATTTGAACGAATAGTGTTTTTGGCCTCTGGGGACATCAAAATGAAAAAGTAAATCGGTCCCGGGTCTAGGTCTTACCGTGCCACCTACGGTAATAGCTACTTCCCTATAGGGAAATTCGCTAAAAGAGATTTTAACTAACACTTCAACGGAATCAACCAATCCATCGGCCATAAAAAAAGAAAAAAATCACGCATATTTAATAAGTTAAGGAATAGGCTTTCCGTTCATAGAAACTCCCTTCAATAAATGGCTTACAGCAATTCAATGAAAATATATTTTTAGAATCGCTTTTAATTGACACTTTTGAATGCTACATTGGATAGTTGTTCTGCAGATTAGTTCAACATACTAAATAAATATACTTAGGCCAGGCGCACACAGGCGATTTAGAGTTGTGGTTGTAACTTAGTTATCGCACGTTGTCGCTGAACTAGTTAAGCGGTTGAACTAACACAAGGTTACCTTAATGGTAGGTTAAACAGGAAACCGAGCAACCAAACAGCTAAACGTTATAAATCAATTTGAGATTGTATCTTTTCAGGCCATAAAATTAATACAGTACATTAAAACACTTTTCAAATTGTACTTAATTAATAGGCGGCTAAAACTTAACAGATTACAATAATTTGTAATAACCTATTTTTACTACCTTTCTCATTATCACCCAGTTTAATCATTTATAGTACACAGTGTTATAGTACGAAATAAACTTCCTCATCTGCTTAAAAATACAGTTAAGGAGTGTTTCTGTGCGGTGTTTTATTAACTGAACGTTTCGATTAGCTCTTGTTTGCGCGTCATATGGTGTTATTTCTTATATAAGATAAAGATCATGGTTACAGATAAAATAATGAATCATTCAGAGTTGGCGTTTAGGCAATGCTGTACTAAATATACTAGTGCGGCCTTGGTTAAGGGCGTATAGGGTAGTTCCAACTTTAAAAGTATTATTATTTTTTTATTAATTAAATTTTCTTAAGGTTTCTGGTAGTTGTATTTTAACGTTTTTTTTGAACAGTGGTCATATTTAAAACGAGGTAGTAACTACCAATTCGTCCCAAATGATTCCTTATGCCACAGGATAACATTAAATCAGTTTAAATGGTATTACGACATCGTGAGCTATTTTTACTACATTTAAATTAGGTTCACGGACCATTCAGTAAGTCGTTACGAATCAATTACCTTTCCAAGACCTTGGTAAACTCTTAATTGAGTTTTTAATCACAAACCTTCCACCAAAAAGACAGTCTTTACGAGTAAATAGTGCTAACATTAAGGCCTTTTTGTAATTGTCCTCACTTAGAACAGAAGTGTGGAAAGACTGACAGTAAAAAAATAAAGGTATTATGCTATAATACTACTGAAGGTTATGAAATGGAATATAAAATGTCAACAAGCTTTTCTGCACCATCCTACTTTTTTTAAGTAGGTCATTTGTGGAATTATAGTAAAGGTTGTTTAGAGCTTGGTTCACTTAAGTGCTCAATAACAACATTAGTGATCGTTGCCTCCTTAGAGAGTCATGGCTCTTAGTGCATACAAAATACATTAAAGCGTATTAAATCTGGGTCAATGATGATGACTGTTGATTAAATAAATTTACTAAGGTACATTAAAATATACTAAAAAATAACGAGGAACCTACCTGGTATAGGAGAAGGGTGCGGGAATAAAGTTTACAAGGCCCCTGGTTTAAATTTTGCCAATTAACAATTTATTTAATTGTTAGTTAATTAATTAATTGCTTAATATAGTAGCAGCCATTATTCTTTCATTTTTCTTTATATCTAGAACCCTTTCTTAACGTAATGCATCTACTGTATTTAAAAATTAGGGTTGGTTTTGACACCAATTATCAAGTTAGTTATTCAACACATTGATCGATCATAAATTTTTTGAAATTAATTATAAATAAAAAAAAACTATGTGTATATTAACACCCTAAAAATAGTAACATAATATTTTATCTTTCACTCATCGCCTGTGTAGCCTCTCATTTATTAAAATAGCGATTCCCAAACATATTAGTGAGTAAAGAATATTTTGTTTTGTTAATATCTTTGTAACTTGAGTGGTTTTGAGATTTCTTGGAAGCATCTGCCGTCTTGACAATGCTTATTTTATTTAAATGTTCGTCGTATTTCCATTTCATAGCTCTTTCAACTTGAATCCGTGCATCTCTAGCTAAGATTTTCATTGTTTTTATACAAAGATCACGTCGTGTGTAAGGTCTAAAAAAACTCAAATTCAATACAAAATCAATAACTGAGAGTGGTCTTGTAGCAGACTTTTTACAGTACTGACCTAAAATTTAAGGATTACTGATTCGGTTTCAATCGAGATTGAATTTAATCCCAGGTGTCATTAGGTCACAATACCAGCTGTAGACTCTTTACTAACAAAAAAAGTTTGAAAATTATAAACATGTTTATCTTCTTTAAGTTTGGAATACTTAAATAATTTGAAAATAATTAAGCCCATAATACTAATGCACACAATTAAAACTCTAAAAATTCATTTTTGGCGTAAATATTAACGGTTTATTTTAGATTATTTTTATATTAATAAAAATGATGGCGTTGCAGGGATCCATACAAGAACTGAAAATCTACGGATCACCAGGCCTGGCGGAGCTGCAGTGTGAAAACACATTCAAGGTTAGTACAGTTCTTTAGTACAACATCATTTAAAACGTATATTTAGGCCTACTGCAAGTATGAACAACTGGCTCTGGATTGAAAAATCTAATCGCTTCTGGTTCGTCTTAAGCTTAAGCCGACGATATTTCCATATTCACGAATATAAAACCACTAATTTACTCATGTGTGGTAAAATAAACTTAAATAACGCTAAAAACAAAACACACAAGGCTCAACGGTTTGATGGATACAAAACAACTATAACTAATAAACTATACTTTTGTGGCCATTGTAATACTGAATCTCGGACCTTTCTTTTATTTAGACGAATTCTTTATTGAACGGTTAAAAATAAATTGTTGTTGACAGGAAGAGCAGTAAGAGTAAGAAAGTTGCCCTCGATATTTTCAACTTTACAGAGCTGTGTCAACTAATTAAAACTGACATTGTTAAGCTTGCTTACCCCTGTAGAGTTTATAAAGGGGCAATAAAATAATATGAATTATTTCTGCATGAAAAGTTGCAAGTAAAAAGCTTATACTGTTATAAAAGGTTTACAAGAATTTTATATTTGTTTTTGTTAAACACACATACGATTCAGACAGATATTCCGCAAAAGGATAAGGACAAGCTGTAATGCTATTGGTTTGAGTGTGAGTCTGTAATTCTTAAGACATATACAACGGTTCATTTCACTTTACTTACCGTTAACTTGAGGGACCTGTATAACTAAGATATAACGGGATCAGGAGAAAGTTGTTGCGTAACATAGTGATTGATAATGTAGCTGTTTTATTTGTATCAACCAGTACTTTTCCACGAATATTCTTATTACTTTTATTAAATTAGAATATATATATATAGATATATTCTGTATGGCAGGGCTAAGAGCTGAGCAACGTCAACAATTTTACCCAAACGGAACAAGAATGCAAAAGCTCAAAGTTTGTTGGAATACGAGATAAAACTATTTAAATTCGAAAAAGTCCTGACAGAGAAGTGGTGTTAATGATGCGGAAAACGAGCGAATGAACTTTCTCAACTTAGAAAAATGAAACCTACTTTTAGATCAAGGGTTTGGATACCAAAAGGTATATTATAGCAAATATAATTCTCGTAATAATTATCTTAGTGGAAACATTAAACTATTTAGGCTTCATCTGCAACTACTGTTATCTCCTTTGTAAGTAGACCTAAACAATATTTTTTATCAATATCATTTTTGAATTGTAAGATTGATGTGTTATGAAAAACGTAAGCAGGATAATGTGGAGGATCACCATTATATAAGTTAGTAATGTGTTGGACTATTCGTTATATCCATCCAACATACACTTTCAAGTTTCTATGTATTCAGGGGAGCAATGACAAATACAAAGCATTTGGTATTACATGGTACTAACAAAATATAAATTACTATTGATCAACGAAATTCTTTAAAGTTGGAATAACCAATTTTCTTTCTATTTACGTGCCCGTTTTCAAGCGAGTATAATTGCTTTCAAGCCTTTTGAAAGGAAAGCGCACGCCAAGCCAAAGTAAGGACCGCGTACTCGTGTGGAAATCGGTTATTGATGAGGAGGAAGCTGACAGAAGGAAGTTTGGAAACCGAGCATTTGCATTTACTTTGTAGCCTGATCGATTTCCCAATGCCAACGACTGATATTAATATATATTCCAAGGTTTCAACACTATACCTAAAAATTTAGTTTAATTGGTACGGATAATGACAATATTACGTGGGATATATTTTGACAATCTGTGTAAATTGGTTTACGTTTCAATTAAATGCTCATATGATAAATTGCTTTATTAAAACGTACAACACAATTAAAAAGTGTAAACAGTCATAAAAAGTACTCAACTACAGTGTGCAGGCATATTAAATAGCTTACGTTTGGTTTAAATACAGTTTATAATAGTTTATAATATATAATTGTTGTTCTGTTTGATTTTGTTTTAGTTTTTTGGGTAATATAACAATATAAATATTTGGGACACTATATATAACTTAACCATCACCTTAGAGTTTGGAGCATTGACGAGCCATTGTACTAAGTTTTATATGCTCCACGAAGTAGATAAAGGAATTTAAAGACTCACCAGGGACCGAAAATAGCGTTTTGTTCACGTTTACTGACTTATGTCTACAATTGATCTTTGGAATGTCCCTCCCATTCCGAATGATGAACTTGCACATGATGGCCTTTAGCCAACGTTCCTATTGTTAACATTTTTATCCAAGAATTATTGTTATCGTAAGAAAAATATTCATTACAACGAGTTTATAATTAGAAATCTATTTGGGCCTTGAACATTCTGCTAGGTCAGAGTCTTAATTATAACTGTATTTTATCTCATAAGGGGACTATGCTGCCTGTGTAGCTTAAAACCGATTTAAAACTTAAAACCGCATATAAATGTTCATAACTTTAAGTTGGCCCCTAATCAAACCTCCAATAGAATATTTTCATATACGAATTACCCTACCTAATTTAAGTGCTAGTCCCGATAAAAAATTCAGTTACATAGTTTTAAAACTCAGGCATATATGACTAGTAAAGTCAGATTAATAACTTTGTACTTAAGGTAAAAAAATATAATGATTTTTTAAGTACCACGATAAATATTTATAATACCCAGACAAGCCCTTTGAAGATGTGTGCAAACTGATCAACTTGAGTGTTTTGAATTCATCGAACATCCAAGATTTAAACAATATTGTTATCAAAGGATAAATACCAAATCTGATTGGATCAAAATTTAAAGCCTGGCTCAAAAGGTGATCCATAGTTAATTGGCAATTAGAAGTAATAAATCGCCACTGCTGCTAACTTGTCAAAGAGCGAGTCAAACGTAAAACTGGCTTCAGTCTACTTGTTGCGATATCTTTCTAAAGGTCACTGTGGGACTACGATATTCAGTACTTTAATTTTAATTTATGGTGTTTAGCATCAAAGAAACATTGCTTGACTAACAGAATCAAAGAAACGTGTATCCATTTCTTGACTAACAGCTTATTTTCATCGTCTACATCCTTAATTATCTACCTAACTTAAAGCTACACCTACGACTTTAGTTCTCTATTTAGCACATAACACATAGAGTTAGTAGTTAATTTATGCTTCAAAAGTGCGTATTTGGAATCACTCATAATATGGTGTTTAGTTAATCCGGCAATAAATTGTTTTGATTTCAACTGGTTTTATTCTTTTCAGTCTAAGTTCCACCAACTGCTAATTTTGTAATACACAAAAAATACATACATTATATAATTTTATTCATTCAATTCAATAAATAATTAATATTTATTCATTGTGTTATTATAATAACTTAAACATAATAATTACGAAAAATATTTATATTTTTATAAGCTTTTGGCATTGTTTTCCTTAGGTACCGAGAAATAAGTGTTAAAACTTTCAAAACTTTCGGATTTTTTTTCGGAGGTTAAACCTTTTTTTTGACTGAACTATTTAACGAAATATGGTTATATTACAGCTAATATAAATTGAAATGAACTTACTTACTTACTTACTGCCGTGGCTCTTGGTACCCAAGGTGGTACTTTGCCTTTGAAAAATTGCAATGAACATAACAAATAATTACCTTTGATTATAAAACAGATGTTTAGTAATGTATGTTTACTATTATCACAAATTAACTTACTATAAACTTAAGATTTACCTACAGAAGCAGACAGGCGATGAATTGTATTTTTGGTTCTGTTGCTGCTACAATTTATAATTTTAGAGGCTTTACGAAAACATAAGTACCAGTGGATGTAAAAAAGCCGAAAATTTGTATTTAATATAAATAGTAAAAAGCAAAAAATGCTTAGGCATTTACACGTACCGTAATATAAATAGTTCATAATATGGTACTAGTCATTTATGAAATTTTGTATTCATAAATCAGCTTATTACATAAAATTTTTCATTATTATTTTTTAAATATCCCATGCAGATTTAAAGGATAACACGGAAAATTGTATTAGTTAACTGTAATTTTACAGTTAATCCATTAACATAAATCATCCATTCAAAACTTCCATGTCTTAGTTCCTACTTAAGAAATATGGTCTTGTACATTATGAAACTGTCTTTGGAACTGCTTCAAGTTTCAGAACTTGCCAAGACAAAGACGATTTAAAGGGATTTATTTACTTTGTTAAAAGCAATAATTCTCTTAAAGACCAGGCTTTACACTTTGTTTATCTGTTTAGAACCTTTATCTCACTAATATATATATATATGAATTAATAATAATAAGTCAATAAGTCATTTATTAGGGCAGATCAACATATTAATATTATTATTTTTTTATATTATATTATATTATTATTTTTTTTTATTTGCATTAGCCAAGTCAAATGAAATTACAGTTTTCTCCGTACATTAAGTTAATCATCCAGTTTTTAGCTGTTTAAAGTTTTATATCTTAAGCAAGCCGAAACGAGTCTTATCTCAATGTATGTCTGTCTGTCTGTCATTGTGTCTGTGACATAATATCTTTTATTTCCGAACACTTGTTGTTAGCAAATCCAAAACCAAGTAATGTTAAAAAATCTATTTAGTTATCGCAAGTACGATAGATTGTAACGGTAATTTAAATAAAATAACCTGGCCGGGAAACCGAAAATTACTTGACTTGAATTTTGATAACCAGGAAAAAGAGAACGAATCAGTTTAAAAAGGGCTGACAACTAAAAGGTTTTTAGCAATTGTCGCCAATAGTCAAAATTCTGTGTTTTGATGGAGTTTGTGTCAATTAAAAATCACAACTGCAGTATGTAGTTACGGATGTGTCTGCGATTTTGGGTGATATTTACGATGTTGTGCACGTTTGCTGCTAAAATCGCTTTTCCGATGTGTCGATTTCGGGTCGACCTACCACTACCATTGTTGCCATCGCTAGGCTATACCGCCAATAGGCCTATAGCATAGCTATATAATTGTTTGACCCATCATCGTATATAGCAGTAATATTAGGACTGTGAATGATAACTCAAAGGTATT